TTTTCCATAGTGTGACTATATACATATGCATTTTGTTTAAAACGAAATAATATCGAAATACTTTACACAATTCATAAATGAACAAAAAGAACCCCAGTGCTATGCGCATTTAAGTACAGATAATTTTATTTAGTGCCATTAAGTACAATTTAATTTGTATATAATAAATGCAAGTTTTCGGTAGTACTTTTTACTAATACAAAATTTGTTCTATATACAAAACAAGGTCAGGTTGTGATTACGTACTTTGTTATAAACTGCCGTAACTGTCCGTATACATTCCACGTTTGTATCAGCTAAACGGCAGTCCAAACGAGATTCAATAAATATCCTTGGGGAATGTACAATTGGGTCGCTATATAATGTTTACTTAAACTAGACGAAATGCTTCGCAAATGTGGAATAGCCTGATGATGGGAACTGCTACAAGCTTAGGACATCATCGGCTGGCCTGAACTCAAGCGGATCGTAGTCCTTGTAAGCTAACTGTCGCTCAGGCGACGTATCAGGTAACTTGTTGATTTTTTGCAGGCGTGAGTTCACAATCTGGAGGTGGCGTCCAATGTAGTCCTCGCCGGGCGCAAGTCGCTGGGCGAACTGCAGGCAAGCTGCCGCCTTGGCCATCCATTTGCGTTCCACGAAAACCACGCAGAGATTGTGCAGGCCCTGCGTATTGCGCGGATCGTGCTGCAGTATGCTGCGATAGCACTTCTCTGCCGCATCCAGATCCTTCATGTGGTTGATGTATATGTCGCCCAGCAGTATTAGACCCTTCACATGAGTGGGATGGTGGCGGATTAACTGATTAAGAAAAGGCACTGCATCCAGCGGCCGCTTCGAGTCCGCCAATAACAGTGCCAAATTAAAAAGCGCGCTGCGAAAGTCCGACTTCAGGTGTATAGCACGTTTGAAGAACTGCTCGGCTTCGTCAAAGCTCATCTCGTCCATGGCCAGCATTCCCAGATTGAAGTAAACCTTCTCATTGTTCGCATCTCTAGCCAACACCTTGTACAGGCGGGCACGTGACAATTGCCGCGCCTCCGCTCCGCCGAGTTCCTGCAGAAGTATAGCCGAATTGAGCAGTGCTTGCTCGTGCTCCGGATACAGCTCGATGGCTTTGTTGAAGTATACGTGCGCCTGTTGACTCTTGCCCTGTTCCAGAAACACGACGCCTAAATTGTAATAGATATCCGCGTTCTCGCTATCATAAAGAAGCGCCTGCTCGTAAACCTCCTGTGCTTGAGCTGTGCGATTCAGCTTCATAAGAATGTCGCCCCGATTGATATAGGCCTGCAACATGAAGCGCAACACTAGTATCAATATAACGAACATAACCGTTATCGGTTTAAAGTCTCACCTGGACGTAGTCACTGCGCATGCTAATTGCCTGTCTGTAGAGATGATCGGCTTCCTCCAGCCTTGTTTGATTCTTGGATATCAGATTGGCCAGATTGATAAAAACATTCAAATGATTGGGCGCAATCCGTGCGTGGTAGCTAACACCAGCTTTGGCTTGCGGGAAAAGAGCCTTGGCACGCATGTACGCCTGCTCCGCCTCGGCATAGCGCTTGAGATTGTTGTAGGTGCGACCCACGTTAATGTGGGCGCCAATGTCATCTGTTTGTATGTGAACGGCTTGCTGGAAGTACATCAGAGCCTCGTCGTATCGGCCCTCGTTCTCCAGTGCGTGTCCCACGTTATTGTACAGTTTGGCATTGCGTTGGTTCACATGCACCCCGGACATAAAAAGCGAGTACTCCGTGCGCCAGTCCCAGTTGCGCTGATGTGTCTTCAGCCCGTGCGCGACCAGCAGCGCAACGAGTGCCGTCTGCGCCAAACGCCCCCAACGCAAACGCCATCGCCGCTGTAACTGGTGATAGCCGTAGGCAACCATTAAACAGTAGCCCATCGATGGCATGTAAAGAATGCGCTCGGCCACCACGAAGCCGACCGGGAAGAATAGATTCGAGGCGGGCAAAAAGGGCAGCACTATCCAGCCGAGGCACATGAGCAGCGTGCGTGACTGCGATAGATTTCGTGAAAAGCAAGCCTTGGCCGCCAGCGTGCCAAGACCAAGAAAAGTGCACAAGGTAGCCAGGTTTCGAGGATCAGCAAATCCCTCCAGCAGGGGCACGGTGCCTGCAAGCCAAGATATTTGTGATTAAGCTTTAGTATGGACAATCTACATTGTGTGCTACTCACCCATTGTCCAGTCGCAGCAGAGCAACGATGGGTACAGCAACAGCCAGCAGTTCAGGTAGATGAGGTAGCCATAGGTTAGCTGGCGCACAGGCGTAGCAGCTGCCGAGGCAGGGTTATCGAAGCGGGTGAAGATTGGCAGCTGGGAGCCCATCACGTAGACACGTCCAACCAGCAATGCGACGGTGATAAATGCAAGAAACGCTAAACGCTTCCATAGTGTCGACGACCAGCGTCGCGCACTGGTTTGTCCCAGCTTCGCCGGCGGCTGCTCCTCAAACATACGCAGCACAACGTGGCACAGGTGCAGCGGCCGCACCTGCTGCACCACGAACAGTTCGTAGACGGCGCATATGCCAGCTACCGTGATGCCTTGCTCTTTGCACAACATGGAGGCTAGCAGGCAACTGCCAAAGCACAGGCAAAGCGAGGCCCAGTTCGTACGCCGAGGCGAGCCGCCCGTTGCGTGCGCATAGCTGAGAAACGCGCCCAGGTAGCATATTGAAGAGAGCAATTCAGCACGGCCTACGACGCCAGTAACGGCCTCGGTGTGCACCGGGTGTGTTGCAAACAGGAGCGAAGCGACAAAAGCGCATGTGTTGAGCGAGGACACAGACGCGGATGCGGACGTGGAGGACGGCGTCTCGTTACTGCCAGCCGCACACTGACGCAGCAGAAGGCGACAGACACGACGCCACAGCAGACAGACTGCAACATGCAGCAGCAGGTTGACGAGATGGTATCCGAATGGGTCCAGTGCGTGCAGCAAGTAGTTAAAGCGAAACGTCAACACTGTCAGGGGCCTGTAGGACTTGTGTGAGTGCTCCTTGCGCATCGGCGTGCCCCAGAAATCGTTAAGGAACACATTACGCAGCGGCGTGCTCGGCCGCAAATCCTTGTTGTCCCTTATCGCGCTGACATCGTCGAACACCAGTCCGCACTGCGTGCTATTGTAATAGCACAAAACGCATGCCACACATATGCACAGAAATTCGAGCAAGTTGCGCTGCGAGCTACTGCACCCAGCCCGCTCTCTCTCCCTCTCCCGGTTGCATATCGCTGCCGCTGCTGTTGCTGTTGTAGTAGCTGCATGTTGCTGTTGGTTGGGGTTCGTTGACATGGTTGACTTTTGCTTACTTCCTGCCTGCCCGCTTGCCGTTGCCTGCGTTACTTTCCAGTCCGTGCAGAACCTCAATTCATGTATCCATAATTACTTTACTACACCAAATGGAATGTTGTATACAAGTTACGTCTATGAATCTATATATTTATCTATAAGTATATCTTATAAAAAGCTTGTAGAGAAACTACATTGCCTGTAAAGATAAGAAAAGGACAAGTTGATTATTGATTGATTAAAATAATATATACTTTACTTATTAAAGTCAGTCTTAATATCACAATATTTAACCATTGATTAAATAAATGTAATATAATAACTAATAATTTATGAATTTATTAAAAATAAACTTATTAGTTCGAAAAGCCTTTTACATTTTATATATATATTGTATTGAGGTTTCACATAAATCTTGTGTAGTTAAAAGATTTCAATTTACCTTCAAATAGATAGAAGCTCACAATATTAGAAAATCTTTGATTCTTTTACAGCGATTTATTACTTTGGTTTGGACCCGAAAAAATCAATTAATGCGCAACAAAGTAACTTCGTCCCGGTTACTGTCCTCAATACCGACTGCATACACCAAAGTCCCGAAGTTAACAAAGTTGTAAGCGACGCGGCGGCAGCCCCAATAAAATCAGCGGCAGCGGCAGCAGCAGCAGCAGCCGGCAAAATTTTACACGAAGAGAAATTTGCAGTCAGCAAACAGAGTCGAAGCTAGAGAATACGATGGCAAGTGGGCGTGTTTTTGTTTGTGTTGTCAATATTATGAAAGAAAGCACAACAGGGCAGGCATTACTAGGCAAGTCCAGGCCAGGCACAAGCACATCGGCATGCGGATGCAACATTATTGCTTCACATGCGCTGACCGAGAGACAGCAACAAAGTTGCACTCAATGTCATCGGTTTTGTGACGTCATTCAAAACAAACCACCACCAAGTAAACGCAACGACCGTCCTGGAGAGACAGTTGGAAAGAGAGAGCGCGAGAGAGTGGGAGCGGGAGAGCACGAAAAGCAGTGAGCGCAACTTTGTTGCACGACCGACATTTGGCAGCAGGTCCGAAGGACGACAGCCAAGATAAGCACGCCTATGGACACACGTGCAGGCAACGCTTGTTGATTTCCCGCCATTAGACGCGCAGGCGCCTCAAAGTCCTTGCACTTTCGTTTTTCGTTTACGAACAACAACAATCCTCAGACGTACACTCTCAGCGACGCTCTCAGCAGTTTAGTGTTTGTGTTTTTGTAAAATTACTTTGACCGAGATCCGTGCATTGCTGTGTTGCAGCGCCCACGCGTTGGAGCTAGCATCCACCCCCTGTATGGACGCACGTCCTCTCCCACAAGGCGATTTTTGCGACGCCATTACATTGGCGTCCGTGCGTCGTGAACAAAACAGCCAACAACAACACCATATGTACATACATTTGCCAACTTTGTTGCAAATTGCAATTATTACAATGTTGTCAGTGTGTGCAAATGAACTTGTTTTCATATTTTGATGTTTTCTTTGTCATTAGCTTACCGTATTTATTGAGTGAATTATGGAGGTAGTTGTCTTTAAATCAAATAAAGTTACATTTTAACACAAAACTCAACACAGTTTTTGGCCAACTTGCTCGCAACGTGCCATTCGCGTTGCCACGCGCACATATCGATAACAATCGATATGCGATGAGCTGTCAACGATGTGTATAAAATTATCGAAACTAACCACAATGCGCAACCCTGAAGAAAGCCGCAACGTTGTGAGTAAAAGTGTTTGCTGAAGAGATATACAATTTATTAATTAATTAAAAACTTCGCGAACTATTTGGACAACGCAAGTGAAAAAATGTCAACAGAGGACTTCTACTTGCGTTACTATGTCGGACACAAGGGAAAGTTTGGACACGAGTTCCTGGAGTTCGAGTTCCGGCCAGATGGAAAACTACGCTACGCCAACAATTCCAACTATAAAAACGACACCATGATCCGCAAAGAGGCATTTGTCCACCAATCTGTCATGGAGGAGCTAAAGCGCATCATAATTGACTCAGAAATAATGCAGGAAGATGATCTGCCGTGGCCGCCCCCAGATCGGGTTGGTCGACAGGTGAGTAGGCGGATTGCTTCGTGTAAATGCCGCCAATTTGTATGTACATACAAATATTAACCATTGCATTTCTCCACTTCAATAGGAACTGGAAATTGTTATTGGCGACGAGCACATTTCCTTTACTACCTCAAAGACAGGCTCATTGGTGGACGTGAACCGGTCAAAGGACCCAGAAGGCTTGCGCTGCTTTTATTATTTGGTGCAGGATCTGAAGTGTTTGGTCTTTTCTCTCATCGGTCTGCACTTTAAAATTAAGCCTATATAAAAAATGTTGTCGCAATCTTCCCCAGCTGTATTCAACTCATTTATATATTCTATACATAAGCTTAATTAGCAGACACACTTAATTTTGTAACGATTTACTACAAATGAACAACATATATATCATTTTGTACGATGGTAAATAAAACAAAAGTGTTAAGATTGCGCTGCGGTGATCTGCATGTCAGCCGTTTACCTGAGAATTGTTTAAAGCCATTTCAAAAATAAATATCTAAAACATTGAAGGAAGGCATTTTAATCCCATATTAATCAGGATCAAATGCTGCCTATCTTCTGTCTGGAATACTATATAATATAGGCCGAACTTAAACCCTATTAGGATTAAACTATTCCAAAGCTCTAATAGAGTATTAAGAAGCTGAACCAAACATACGCTTGGATGTCAAAACATCCGGCTGTCGTGTTTTTCCAGAAAAAAGTAAAAGTAAGTATATATACTAGGCATAGTCGACCAAACTGAACATGATTCGTACTAAATTTTAAGGGATGTATTCAAATAATGCTCTTAATAAAAACTAGTCGTAATATCATTTATTGAACAACATATTATTGTATAAATTAAAAATATTTAGGTGCTATACATTTGTACATATATGTCTAGACTAAATAATTGGTATTTATAGACAAACCTTATGCAATGCATCTTACAGAGTATGGGTTAATGCTAATATGTTAAAATGCTGCCATATTTGACAATTAGAATTGTTTATAAATAGAGAAAATAGCTCAAGATTTGAATTTTATCTTAGATCTATGTAAACTACAAGGCTTAAACTTAAACGGATATAAAAATTAAACAGTTTTTAATGACAATTTTGTGTAGAGCTTCACAAAGCGCTCCGAGATTCGTAAATTGAAATGTTTCATATGTTACTAAATTCAGTCTTTGGGGTTACTTAGCAGTTAATTCATAGAACTACGGCACTGCACTGTGAAATGCACATTTAAACTAGCTAGAGAAAGCTCTTGTAGAGCCGAATGCGTAAATCTCAGAGTCATAACTGCGGCTGCTGCTGATGCAGGGCGAGTGTAGCCGCGATGTTGGTGCTGGCCCGCTCCAGATAGCTGCCGGGCATGGGGCCTAGTCCTGGCATTTCCAGTTGCTGGTGTTGTTGCAGTTGCTGCTGTTGTTGCTGTTGCGGTGCTTTGAGTAAACTGGGCGATGCCTGCAGCGGAGTGTTTGAGCCCAGGCCTGCACTGCTGCCTCCTGGACTGGGCCCGCCCTCTTTGAGTGGACAGCCGATAGTGAGGCGCACATGTAGTCCAGACTCTTTTATAAGATTGACAACATCGCCGTGCGACATGCCCGCAATGTCGATGCGGTTAACTGCAATTATCCTGTCGCCCACTTTCAGCTCGCCACACCTATCAGCCGGACTGCCAGGTATAAGTTTGCCTGTGCATAAACGAATTTAATGTAAAAATCATTTGCTTTTCGAATGACATTCAAAGATGTGTGTTCATACCAATTGTCGAGCCGTAGTAATGATTAGACGAGGAGATTATGACAAAGCCAAAGCCCTCGTTCTCATGGCGACTGACAATCACGTCGTAGGGATAGCGTCGGAGCTGCGCCAGCGGCGCTTGTTGCAGCAGCGGCGCCCGTCGCCTGCGCAGTATCATGGTGACCTGTCCGCGCACGGCTGACTCGCCCACCAGCGAAACGACTTTGTGATGCGAAGAGTTTAGCTAACCCAATTGAGAATGCAAAGCAATGCAGTTTAGTAACGAAACATGCTGTGAGACGGCGCGATGCGACTTACCACATTGATTCCATCGATGCTTAGGATCTCGTCGCCGGTGGCAATGCGGTGATCATTATCCGCTGCGCCGCCAGGCACAATGTGGCCAACGGTCACCTGAGAGCCCTCCTCAGTGCCACCTACAATGCGAAAGCCGAAGCCCATCGCCTGCCGTTCCAACGTTACCTCGGTCAGCTCGCACTGGTCGGCATCCTCCGAGGCATCCAGCAACGCCCCATTGCGCCAGCTGGGCGAATGCTGCAGCTGCATCTGCTGCTGCTGCTGCTGTGGCGGATCCAAATTGGCGAACCCTACACGTCGTCTGTCGCTCAGCAGCTCGTTGACGCGCCGCTGCATGCGCTCATTCTGAATGTGCGCCGCTTGCAATGGCGAGTACTGGCCGGTGGCCGCAGAAACGGGCGGTTGCTGGACGTAGTAGCCCATTTGCGTCGACTGCTGGGGCCGTTGGTAGCGCTGGGCCTGGCAGTCGTAGCAGTAGCAGGACTCGTGATGCGCCAGCGGCAGGGGCAGCGGCTGCATGCTTGGTGGCAAGCCGTAAATGGGATTGTAGCTTCCTCCATCGCCGACATCGACATCGACGCTGCTCTGTAATGTGGCCTCGGCGAGGCGCTCGCTCAATCGGCTCACCATCTTGGGATAGGGATCCATAAAGGGTATGTCGTCCAGCTCCTGCAGACTATTATTCGACTTGCCCTGGGCCTGCAGGTGCAGTGATTTGTTTTCACCCGCCGCCTCTACATCCGTTTGCTGCAGCTCATTATTTGGCGTCAGAACGCGGGCACGTCGCGTGTCCACCAACGGCGTCTTAGGCCGCATAGGCAGCACCTCCTTGGGCTGGGTGCTGTACAGGTCGGCGGTGGGCGTCTTGCTGCGAAAGAGTCCGCTGCCTACAAAGTTTTTGCGCAGATTGGCCACATTACCCACGCCCAGCTGGCTGCCCTGGCCGCTAGCCGCTTGCTCGGGCGGCGTGCGTTGTATCTTGAGGGCGGTGGGCGTGGTTTGGCTGCACTCCTTGAGCAACTCGACCACATAGAAGTGTGGCTTGTTGCGCACGTTGATGCCGTTTATCTCGAGCAGCACGTCTCCCTCGAGCAGCTGAGTGCAGCAGTTGCGGTCGAGGATCTTTTTTACTATCTGACCGCAGGCAGAGTCGGCGATGGTAAAGCCAAAGCCCATGGCTCCCTTCATAATGGAGAACGTGTAGAGCTCCGGCTTTTTCATGAGTATGAAGCCACTTCCACTTCCAGCAGCCTTACTGACGCCTTCGCCGGACAAATCCAGAAAATTGTAATTGCCATCCATGTTCAGGTCGACATTTAAACGACGCTGCTTCTCCGACTCGGAGGCAAGTCCATCCACGGCCATGGTGGTCACCACCTCGGTATTGGGATCATTCGGATCGAAGGGCAGTGGGTATCCGCGGCACACCTCCAGCGCAGCTGTCTCTCCGGGCAGTATTGACTGAAAGATGTTCACCATGTCGTGGTGGGTGTAACCCAGGACGCAGGTATCGTTCACATAGACCAGCACATCGCCCGTCTGCAGCTGGCCATCCAGCCAGGCGGGCCCGTTGGGCACCACGGTCTTGATTTGCAGAAACTCCTCCACGTCGCTGCCGTTGCTGCCATCGCTGCCGACGATCGTAAAGCCCAGTCCGCGCGTGGACTTCAGCAGCGTCGTGTTGATACGCTGGCCCTGCAGCTCCGCCGGATTACGCGTGAACTTGTATGGCAGCTTGGCAGTATTCGCAATAGGAATTGTTGCACTTGGCATCGGCGTTTGCCTAGCTGCCGCCTCCTGCGCTGCCGTCGGCGTCTTTGAACGTTGCTGCGGCGGCGGCGGAGGCTGTTGCTGCTGGTGCTGTTGCTGGAGCTGCATCTGTTCCTGCTGTTGTTGACGCTGTTCGGCCGCACGTCGTTTGGCTTCCAGTACGGGATTCTCGTACTGGGTGCGACGATTAACGTGATCAATAAAGTACATGCCGTACATAGAGTCTTCGATCTTCTCCCAGCCATAGGGCAGCTCGTCCTCGCAGCAATCCTCCAGTGATTTCTTCTGATACTTGGACAGACGCGGATCCAGCCAATGTGAGGTGCCCGTATTGTGGCTACACAAAAAGAAATTGTTATTATTACACGCGCTTTATAGCTAGCTGCTTGGTCTCACTTACTCTATGAAGTACAGCTCGCCTCGTTCCGTGTAGGCAGTCTCCCATTTCGGCGGCAGTGGTCCTAGGCCATCGCCGGGATCCTCATGATTAGTCTGATTGATATCTGCAGCACCACATTCGCTGCCCATGCTGCTGTCGCCGCCTTCGCCATTATAATATGTATTTTGCAAAAGGTTCTCTGCAATCAAAAGAAAAACAGTTTAGTTTTTGATTATAAAAGAGGTACACGGAATTATTTGGAACAGAGAAAGTCTGAGTATCCTTCATAGAAGTTATCTAGAGCCCTAACGCACGTCTTTCTGCGTCACATCCTGAAGGCGATTTGAGTGAGAATCAATGAACTCAGCAGCACACAAGCTGACCTCAAACCGGATATGTGCGCCCCACAATTAGCTCTTGCTTGAATGCCTTGTCACCCTAGTCCATGGCTAGGTCATTTACGGCAGGGCAACTCCCTTTGCTAGACAGGTGTGCAACCAGCCGAAAATAGTTTAGCCCGGCCCCTGATTTGGCATGTTGCACGGGCCATTGCTAGTGCAACGCTGCTTTTTGTGGCCCCTGTTGAATGAACCGTAAACTGTTTGATCATCAACAGCAAGCAGGTGTATTATTAACCACAAAACAACTCACAAGAATGGTGCTAGAAGGGCTTACCTGGGCACCTGACCCAGTTTTTAGCGCTCCCTAGTGTTACTGGCTGGGAAAATGAATCTTGAAGGATGTAATTATTTTTATCATCAGTTTCCCAGAAGAATTTTCATGCCCTAACGTCGTTTGAGCTCTACATTAATCACCAATTAATCAGTCTGTCAGTTATTCAATCTCCAAAAATAGTTCGAATTTATAAGGCATAGAACCTTCTTTATTTAAATAAACTGCTGACCAATCATAAAAAGATATGTTCAACTATATTAAACTTCCAAGTTCTACATATCTATTATAGTTATTGTAATGTCTTCATTCCGTCTCCGTCTCACGCTAAATTACACAGCGATGCTCATTAAAACAGAATCAAAGCTATTAGATGAAATGTCAGATAACTGTGCTCGAATGAGAAGCGGTCCGGGTATCGTTAGCCCATATAAAGAAGTCCCATATGCATACGAATAGTTTTTATAGGCATATTTTTCATATATCTACATATTCATGCAGATGTAGCTGCGATGTAAACATCACTAAACGAATTGCAATCCGGCGTAGACCGGAGCAGACTTCGCAAAAATCAAATTTCTAAACGAATCATTTGCATAGAGTAACATAAATATTTATA